TCCTACAACCTGGAAAAGGTAACACATAACACACAGCCTCACTTGGCTCTCCTCTTGGTGTCCCTGAGGGGTCAGACACAGCCCCAGGGGATGTGGGCTCCCTGCACTCCTTGTGGGCTTTGCATGACCTGCCAGGCAGTGCTGAGTGAGCCATGGCTGTGCTGGGAGCTGCGTTGGGGCTGCCAAAGCTTTCCCCTCCCGTGGTGCCCTCAGCTGGGTAAGGCAGGGTTTGGAGGGGCTGCCACGTGATGGATCCCATTGTCCCCCCTGCAGAAACGGGACGAGAGGAGCGTGAAGAGCACGGCCATCAGGGTGGTGGACTTTGGCAGTGCCACCTTTGACCACGAGCATCACAGCACCATCGTGTCCACCAGGCACTACCGAGCCCCTGAAGTCATCCTGGGTAAGGTGCCCCTGGGTCTCTGCCCCTTGTACCCCGCTGGGATGGGGAGTGTTGGGCATCCACATCATTCAGGAACATTCTGGGTTTGCCCTGGGAGATGGGAAGTTGATTTAACAGCTCTGCAGTGCTGTTTCCTGGGACCTCCATGGTTACAGCCCTGTTATTGTTCTGGGTTTGTTCCCCCTGGAGAAAAGGAGGTTCAGGGGGATCCTCTCACTCTCCACAACTTCCTCATGGGGGTTTGGGCTCTGCTCCCAGGGAGCAAGGAGAAATGGCCTCAAGTTGTGCCAGGGTTGGACATCAGGAGGAATTTCTTCCTGGAAAGGGTGGTCAGGCATTGGAAGGGGCTGCCCAGGGAGGTTTGGAGTCCCCATTCCTGGAGGTGTCCAAAGAATGGCTCGATGTGGCACTCAGTGTCCTGGACTGGGATTGGTCACAGGTTGGAGTTGGTGATTCCATGATCCACCATCAGCTGGCCAGTGTATTGCCAGCAGAGCACCAGGAGCCTGGCTGGAATAGGATGTTATTTATTTTTTTATTAGTTACTTATTTTTAAAAGAAATAAGGATTTGGACTCTTGTGTTGTAACTGGATCATTTATTTAAACAACATTGTTTTTCAGAGCTCGGCTGGAGCCAGCCCTGTGATGTGTGGAGTATTGGCTGCATCATCTTTGAGTATTATGTGGGTTTCACCCTTTTCCAGGTGAGAACTGTGTGGTGTGGGTACTTCCCAGCTGGTGAGAGGATGCTGGCTGCTTCCCTGAGACTGATTGGGGTCCCTCCATCCCTGCAGTCCTGTGGAGACACCCAGGGTGTTGGCCAGGATGGGGTTTCTGGGTGGGGGAACACCCAGGGCTGAAGGCAGAACCACTGGAATCTATTCCATGCCTTCCCTTTCCATTTCTCCCTCCCAGACACACGACAACCGGGAGCACCTGGCCATGATGGAGAGGATTTTGGGGCCAATTCCTTCTCGAATGGTCCGCAAGACAAGGTGAGCAAAGCCAGCCCTCGTGCTCCACGGGCAGTGCTTCACCCTGGGTGAAATGCCACTTTGGAGCCACCCAGCTGTGTCCCACTGGGGCTGGCACCTTGCTGCTGCTGCTGTGTAACCTGCTGTCCCTTTACTCTGACAGGAAACAGAAATATTTCTACCACGGCCGCCTGGACTGGGACGAGAACACCTCAGCTGGACGCTACGTTCGGGAGAACTGCAAACCACTGCGGGTGAGGCAGCTTGGCCCCTCCTCAGCTCCTCCCTCTGGGCAAGCCTGGAGTTTGACATGGCTTTTTGACTGCTTGGGTTAATCTATCTAAAAAAGAGCTATAGGATTTTCACCTTGTCTGATAGTAGTATGAGCATTTATATGGGTGTACTAGCTGGCTCAACGGCTCAGCTGGCTCAACATATGGGTGTACTAGCTGGCTCAACGGAAAACAAAGTTTTTCTAGCAGCATCTTTAATATCTGTTAATACAGGCTGAGGCAATTTTGCTGCTTGATTTTCTGGTCTTGCTAATTGGGTAACATCTATATCCTCATAAGCAGTATTTGCACATCTTTCAACCAATTTATCAAGAAGCTTTTTTCATTTTAATTCCCATAAAAGATATTGTGAATTGGTTAAAATCAGGGAAGCCACATTTCGACAATCAGCAGGGACTAAGTCATAAGAATTAAAAATACTTCATTTATTATTTTAAAGTATTATTTAATACTTTAAAAAACCACATTATTAAGATAAGGAGAACTCAGTCTGGCCAGCAGAAAGGTGGTTGAAGGGATCCTTGGCTGTCCCAGCAATAGGAAACTGCAGCAGTGTGAGTTTAATGTGAAGTGGAGGACAAGGAGAGCATGGAAAGTTCAGGAAGTTCCCAGGGAAGGGAGGGTGTGTGACAATCTGTCAGTTGTGGACAGAGAGGAGTTCAGAGCTCAGCTCCAGGCTGAGAGATGGTGTGAACAAACCAGGGAACATCAGGATGGGGGGGTGTAGCCTCCCTGAGCCTCACCTTCCCCTCCACCTGCAGCGATACCTGACCTCGGAGGCTGAGGACCATCACCGCCTGTTCGACCTCATCGAGAGCATGCTGGAGTACGAGCCCTCCAAGCGTGTCACCCTGGCTGAGGCCCTCAAGCACCCCTTCTTTGACATGCTGGGCATGGAGCCCAGCACAAAAATGTGGGACTCGAGCCGGGACATCAGCCGGTGACGCCACAGGTGCCAGCCAGCCCTCGGATTCTAGCCCCCGTGGAGGCCTGTGTGATTTCTATTCAGACACTTGGTGCTTTTTTTTTTATATATATATATATATAAACATGAGATGAACTTCCTGGACACGTTTGTAAAGCTGTTAATATGTGAGATACTGTAAATAGCCCAGATTCTCTGTCGGCCTAGGAGCACCACGGGCCTGACCTGCTGTTGCTGCTGCTGTTCTTGTGAGGTGAGGGGGGTCTGTGTGTCCGTGCTGTAAATACCTCTTGTCCTGTGTTGCTTTGTCTCCTGTTCCTGCCCCTCCTCGGTGTAAATACTCCAGGACTCGCAGCTCTGTGTAGCTTATCTGTTTCCTTGTAAGTTATGGAACTGGTGGGACTGCATGGGAATTATTTTTTGGATCAATGTCATAGCCCATCCCCACACCAGAGTTTTATAAGAATTTTGTACAGTCTTTGTGAAAAATAAATATGAAGTGAATAAAGCACCTGGTCTGGGTTTGGCCTGACAGCTGCTGACCCTGGGGTTGTTCTGTTGTGCCCTGTGGGGGGAAGGAGAGGGGTGAAAGGAGCTTTGTGGTCCAGCTGTATCCACCTGCACTGAGTAGGAGCTGCTTTTGGCCCTCAGAGCTGCAGCTGGACCTGAGTAGATGCTGTTTTGTGGGGCAGAAAACCAGGGACTGGCTTTTTCATGATGCCCTGGGTCCAGTGTTGGGGTGGGAGGCAGAGAAGGGACGGGGGGGTTCTCTTACCTGAAGGAACCTCTCAGGCTTTCTAGGGCTGACAGGAGCCCACATCCAGCTGTCCTGCACCCACCCCAGGGCTGGCTGTGTCTTTTGGACTCTTCCCAGCTCTGCAGGGAGGCTGGGCCTTGGTTTGGGCTGTTCCCTGGGTGTTTTCTGGGCTGTGTCACAGCTGATGGCAGGGGCAGAGCCTCGCTGGGGTGTGGGTGACAGATGTGCTCTGCTGTGGCACCATCAGGCTGTGCCCATGCAGAGAGGAAAGGAAATGTCTGGTTTCACCTGGAGTGAGTGTGGGGAGCCTCAGGATGTCACTGAGCCATCTCTGGGCTTGTGACAGTCTCAGGAAGGGTGGCACTGAGCCATCTCCATGGGCCTGTGAGAGCCTCAGGAAGGTGACACTGAGCCATCTCCATGGGCTTGTGACCCTCCCTGCCTCCTGTCCCACTGCCCCTGTGCCCAGCCCCACACTGAAGCTGGAGGACAATTAAATTATCTGATTCATACCTTAACTTCGAAGAAAATACCAAAGTCATGCTGGTGTCCAAACCCCAAATCCACAGCTTCCACCTCTGCCAGGAGCAGCTCCAGCTTTGGGCTGAGGTGGGAGCTCAGCTGTGGGGTTCAGATGTCACTCTCAGTCTGTGCAGAGTGTTTTTAGCAGTTTGCTGAGCACGGGGAGGGGACAGGGCGGGGACAGTGCGTGTCCTGCTCCCGGGATGCTGACAGGACCTGGGATGGGCTCAGTGTGCAGTCACGGGCAGCTGGATGGGAAGGATTTGGAGATTCCTATAAATAACAGCGCCAGGAGACGCAGGAGGAATTCCCCGAGTGCTCGTCGTGCCCGAGGCCCTGGCTGGCTGTGGTGACAGCTGCTGGAGCGACAACGCCTGGGGGGACGGGGGGGCTGTGTGGGCAGCAGGTGAACGGTACCGGTACCGGGGCTGCCCGGTAAGAGCAGGGAGCAGGACCGGGGGTGGGGACACGCAGGAGGAGCCGCTGTCCCGGCAGGTCCGGCTGGGCGGGGACCCGGAACCGTGAGGGCACCGGGGCGTGATGGGTACTGGATACCGGGACACCGGGGAGTGATGTGCGATGGATACCGGGACACCGGAGGGTGATGGATACTGGGACATCGGGGGCGATGGGCACCGGGACACCGGGGAGTGATGGGCAATGGATACCGGGACACCGGAGAGTGATGGGCGATGGATACCAGGACACCGGGAGGCGATGGAGGATGGATAATGGGACATGGGGGGTGATGGGTAATGGATACCGGGACACCGGGGGGTGACGGGTGATGGATACCGGGACACCGGGGGGCGATGGGTACTGGATACCGGGACACCGGGGGGCGATGGGTACTGGATACCGGGACACCGGGGGTGACGGGGTCCCGTCCCGGCCGCCCCTCTCGGGGGTACCCGCAGGAAGGGCGGCCCCGGGGTTGGGGTGGGTACGAGCGCGCCGCACGTGACCCCCGGACACGTGGCCGCGTCACGCGCGCGCCCCGCCCGGCGCGGCTCCGGCGCGTGCGCAGCGGCCCCCTGCGGCGGGGGTCTCCCCGATGACGTCACGGCGCGGCGGGACCAATCAGAGGCGGGCAGGGGCGGGGCCTGGCGGCGGCGGCGGCGCCGGTCCCGCGGGTCCAGCGCGCTCCCGGTCCCGGTCCGGCCATGGCCCAGCGCGGCGGCCCCGCGGTGCTCCCGGACAACCCCTTCCAGGACCCCGCGGCGCTGCAGGCCCGGCCCGGCGCTGTGCTGGATGGCTATAACCCCTTCGAGAGCGACGCGGTGAGCGCCGGGGCCTGCCCGGGCACCGGGGCCTGCCCCGGTACCGGATCTTCTTCCCGGCCACCGGAGCCCTCCCCGCTACCGGCGCGGTCTCACCTCTCTCCTCTTCCCCTGCAGCCACCGCCGCCCTTCCAGACCCCTTCGGTAGCGCCGCCGCCCCCGGTACCGGCGGCCGCGCAGCCCCCGCGGAAGGCGAGTCCTACCGAGCCCCGCAACTATGGCTCCTACGGCTCGCAGGTACGGGGGGAGGCGCCGCCGGGCCGGGACGCGGGCACCGGCGGGAGCCCAAGGTTCGTGTCCCCCCTCTCCGCAGGCCTCGGCCGCCGCCGCCACGGCGGAGCTGCTGAAGCGGCAGGAGGAGCTCAACCGGAAAGCGGAGGAGCTGGACCGGCGGGAGCGGGAGCTGCAGAACGCGGCCCTCGGCGGTGCCCAGAGTGAGTGGCGGGGCTGGGCAGGGCTGGGACCCCCCTGGAGCCCTCCTGGCTCCTCCTCATCCTCTTCCCTCCGCAGCGAGGCTCAACAACTGGCCCCCGCTGCCGTCCTTCTGCCCGGTGAAGCCGTGCTTCTACCAGGACATCCCCGTGGAGATCCCGGCTGACTTCCAGAAGACAGTGACAACCATGTACTACCTCTGGATGGGTGAGTCTCCAGCAGAGCCTGGCAGCAGCTGGAAGGATGAATTTGGGTGCTGCTGCTCTGGGGAATTGGGATGAACAGGTGGTTGTGGAGGTTGGGGGAGCCTGGATGGGCTCCTGAGCTCTGTCCTGTCCCTCAGCCAGCACCATTGCTCTGTTCATGAACTTCCTGTCCTCGCTCGCCTGGTTCTGCGTGGATCCCACGTCCGGCTCTGGGTTTGGCCTCTCCATCCTATGGGCTCTGCTCTACACGCCCTGTTCCTTTGTCTGCTGGTACCGGCCCATGTACAAAGCCTTCAGGTGTGTCCCGAGCCCTGGGCACCTGCAGGATGGGCTCTTCCACCCCGAGCTCCCTGTTCTCCTGCTTTAAGGAAGGTTTGGGAGCTTCCTCACCTTACTCATTTCTTCCTCCCAGGAGCGACAGTTCCTTCAACTTCTTTGTCTTCTTCTTCGTCTTCTTTGCCCAGAACGTGATGTATGTGCTGCAGGCCATCGGCATCCCAAACTGGGGATTCAGGTGGGTCGTGTGCTGACCCTGCAAAGGTGGGAGATGGGTGGGGAGGAGGGAGCCTGGGGGCCACAGCCTCTTGTTTTGCAGTGGCTGGATCCTGAGCCTGATAGCGCTGCGGACTAACAAGGCCGTGGCCGTGATGATGATCCTGGTGTCCTTGTCCTTCACGGCCGTAGCTGTGCTGGGCATCATCATGCTGAAAAAGGTGGGTTGGGACCAAAGCCTGCAGCCTGAGCCATCCCCATCCCTTTTTGGGGGAAGTTTGGGCCATCACAGCTCTGTGTACTTAGGACCTGCAGCCTGAGCCATCCCTTTGGGGAGCTTTGGGCCATCACAGCTCTGTTAAACTGGTGCCTGTGGCCTGAGCGATCCCTCATCCCTTTTGGGGAGCTTTGGGCCATCACACCTCTGTTTTCTGGGGGTCTGCAGCCAGAGCCATCCCTCATCCCTTTTGGGTGAGGTTTAGGCCATCACCACTCTATTTAACTGGGGCCTGCAGCCAGAGCTATCCCTTTTGGGGAGGTTTGGGCCATCACAGCTCTGTTTAACTGGGGCCTGCAGCCAGAGCCATCCCTTTTGAGGGAGGTTTGGGTCATCACCACTATTTACCAGGACCTGCAGCCAGAGCCATCCCTCATCCCTTTTGGGCGAAGTTTGGGCCATCACAACTCTGTGTACTTAGGACTTGCAGCCTGAGCCATCCCTTTGGGGAAGTTTGGACCATCACAGCTGTGTTAAACTGGGGCCTGTAGCCTGAGCCATCCCTCATCCCTTTTGGGCAAGGTTTAGGCCGTCACCACTCTATTTAACTGGGGACTGCAGCCAGAGCTATCCCTTTGGGGAAGTTTGGGCCATCACAGCTCTGTTTCCCAGGGCCTGCAGCCAGAGCCATCCTTTTGGGGAGGTTTAGGCCATCACCACTCTATTTACCAGGACCTGCAGCCTGAGCCATCCCTCATCCCTTCTGGGGAAGTTTGGGCCATCACAGCTGTGTTAAACTGGGCCCTGCAGCCAGAGCCATCCCTTTGGGGAGCTTTGGGCCATCACAACTTTGTTTACTCAGGACCTGCAGTTCGAACCATCCTTTTGGGGAAGTTTAGGCCATCACAGCTCTGTTTCCCTGAGCCTGCAGCCCTGACCCCGTTCCCTGCTGCCCCCAGATCCACTCCCTGTACCGCCGCACTGGTGCCAGCTTCCAGAAGGCGCAGGAGGAGTTTGCCGCCGGCGTTTTCTCCAACCAGGCCGTGCGCACGGCCGCGGCCAACGCCGCCGCGGGCGCGGCCACCAACGCCTTCCGTGCCCCGTAGCCTGCGGGCTCTGCCCCTCCCGGCGCCCCGGGGCTCCTCCCGAGGAAGAGGAAACCCGAGTCGCACTTTCACTGGATCCCCCATCGGCTCTCAGAGGCTGCCTCATCCCAGCTTGGAAGTGCTGGTGCCTGAATCGTCTGCTGCTCTTAACCCCCTTTTTCCTCACGGACAGAGGCTGTTGTGGTTTGTGCTGGTCCCCTCCCCTCAGCAGATTGGGGGGAGCAGGGTGGGGAGCCCTGAGCCGTCGTCCTCCCTCCCAGCAGCAGCTGCTGGGGGCAGGAGCCTCCCCAGATGGCTGCAATGCTGCTTCCAGGGACTGGAACGGTCACTTGCCTTCCTTGTGCTCTCCTGTTTCCCCACCTGGTGATGACACTTGTGCTCCTTTAGGGTGTGGGAGGGTCCCCTGCCCCCCCGTGTGCCCAGGGGACCCCCATGCTCTGCCAAGAACGTCATCCCCCTCTTCCTCCTGGGGCTTGCTCCAGTGGGATGAGGATGGGGCTGGTGCTTTCCCCAGGCTGTCTCGTCCTTTTGTCCTGTCCCTTTCCCCATCCTCTCCCTCTCTTCCGGCCCAGGGATGAGGAGAGCAGGGCAGGGACAGGCAGAGCTCGGGCTGCTGCTGCTTGTGGGGATCCTGCCTTTAGCCCGTGTGGAGCCCAAAGCCAGGCTGGGTGCCGAGGAGCAGCCCTGGCGTTTACATGGCACCCCTTTGCCTCCAGGGAGGGCTGAACAGCTCCTGCAGCCCCCTCCCCACCCGCTTCGAGGACTGTGGCCCCCTTGCTGCCCCCAGCACCCTCCAGCCAAGGCCTTCGGGGGCTGAGCCAGCCCCGGTGTGCAGCCCCTCGCCCCCCTTACCTGCCCTCTGTCCCCTGCCCTGGTGTCCCTGGGGGTCCCCAGGACAGGTCTCACGCATTCTGCTTCAGTCCATCTCCTCTCGGATGCTCCGGGGCTGGCGAGAGGCTTTGTGCCTTCAGCCGTGGGGGCCGGTGCCCTCCCGGTCCCGCTGGAACCGGGGCTCCTCCGGGCGTCCCCGCCTCCTCCGCTGCTCCCCGTGTGCTGTTCCCGCCCGCTCCCGGTTTATTTAAGGAATAAATGAAGGTTCACTCTCTTCCTTCGCCATCTCCGTGCGCCTCCCGGGGAGCTGGGGGGCAGCAGCGGGGCCGCTGCCCGTGGCCGGTGTGGGTGGACTACAGCTCCCGTCGTGCCGCGCGGTCGCTGTGGGCGGACTACAGCTCCCGTCGTGCCTCACGGGGGCGGCCCCGGCGCGGGCGCGACCCAGCCCCGCCGGCCTGTGTGGGACCGGCCCCGCCGCTCCTGGCGCTCCAGCTGCGGCCCCGGGCGCTCCCCGGCGATGCTCGGCCGCAGCCTCCCGCCGCTCCGGCGTCCCCGCCCGCCGCTCCGTACGGCGCCGGGGCTGCGGGGCGCGGGGCGGACGGACCGCCGGTAGCCGCCCGCCGCCCTTACCGGTACCGGGAGCCGGCTCTGCGCCCGCCGCCGCCAGCGGAGGATGCTCCGGTCCGGAGCGCGGCTCCCGCCTGCAGGCGCTGCCCCGGGGGCCGCGTCCCGGGCGGCGGCTCTCGGTCCCCGCGGGGCGGGATGATCTCCCGGCGGGGACCCCGCTCTGCACCGACGGCCAGGGAGGCGGCGGCGGTCCCGGGGCCGCGCTCCGTGCCCGGTTCTAGGGGGTTCTAGGCTGGTTCCGTTCCGCGTGGCCGTGGGCGCTGCCCGAGCCCCCCCGCCCGGGGCAGGGAAGAGCCGCCGTCAGCATCCTCCGGCAAGGCCGAAAGGTGGAGCCCGGCCCGTTCCCGCAGAGCGGCTGCTCCCGCTGCCCGCGGTCCTGGCGCGGTGCCGCCGGCTGCCCCGGGGCTCCGGGGCCGGCCCCGAGCCGCCGCCCGCCGCGGCCATGCCCTCCCCCAGCGACTCGAACCGCTCCCTGACCGGCCGCAGCTCCCGCAGCCTCACCCACCTCCGCCTCCAGCGCGCCTGGCTGCAGGTCCTGCTCGTCCTGGGGCTCGTGCAAGCCGTGCTGGGCGTCCTCATCGTCACCTTCAGCCTGGTGGCGGCCACCATCACTCCCTCCACCAAAATCCGGCACTCCTGCCCGTCCTGGGCCGGCTTCTCGGTGAGTACGGGGCCGAGGGGGCTGCGCGGCTCCCCCGGGGGCCGAACCGGCCGCCGGTCCCAGGGGAGGGCAGCCCCGGTGCTCCCCCACCCTCTGCCCGTGCCTGCCGCGGTGCATTGTGGGAGAATCCCAAGGGCTCCCCCAGGGTGACTCTGAGGGATGGGGACCCCCGAGGGGTGTGGGGGAATGTCTGGGGTCCGCAGGGAGGGGTGTGGGGTCACCACGGTGACCGCAGGGCAGGGGCAGGGTTGCGATGGGGGCTCTGCTCTGGCTGCCGGGTATTGGGGTGGGGGCAGCACCCGGGCTCCCCCGTGGTGACCCTGCAGCACGGCTGCTGGCCTGGGTTTGCTGCCCAGCCAGAGCAGCCCGCAGTCCCCAGGCCCTGAATCAGCAGTTTCTCCCATCTCGTGGCGCCAGGGCTGCTCTTACAGCCCCACTGCTCCCGTGCTGGCTCCAGGCCTGCGGGGACCAGGGGGCTCTGCCCGTGGGCAGGAGCTGCTCTGGCCCCTCTGCCTGTCAGAGCCTTCTCCCTGTGCTCACCCCGGGCCTTGTGCACCTGCAGCTGGCACTGTCCGGGCTGGTCGGCATCGTCTCCTGGAAGCGGCCGCTCACCCTGGTGGTAGGTGTTGGGGGGACACCCTTCCGCAGGCGGGGCAGCCCAGGATGGGGAGACCGAGCATGCCTCGGGTGCTCCGCCGGCTCCCTGCGCCGCCGGCAGCCCCTCTCCTCCTGCTGCAGATCGCCTTCTTCACGCTGCTCTCGGTGCTGGGCGTCATGCTGAGCCTCGCCGGCTCCATCCTGTCGTGCCAGAACGCGCAGCTGGTGAAGACCCTGGAGGCCTGCGAGAGGGTGAGGCTGAGCAGGGACCCCCGGGCTCATGCCTGGCTTGTGGGGGGCTCTGCGGAGCTGGTGGGGACGCGCTGGTGGCTCTCAGGGGGATCGCACGGCATCCAGAGCTTCCTCGCAGTGTTTCTTGTCGCCAGGAGAGGGACACGTGTGTCTGCTGCCAGGCCCGCTCGGAGCCCCCGCCCGCCTCCTGCAGCCACCAGAGCGAGCAGCTCACCATGTTCCCCAACGCCAACTGCCGGAGCATCCGTGTGGCGCTCAAGGTGGAGGAGCTGGGGGATGCAAGGGCTCCCTGGGAAGCGGCCGCAGCCCCGGCCATGGCTCTGCGGGCTCTGCAGCTCACCCCACTGCTCCCCAGGATCTCCTCTTCAGTGTCTGTGGCTTGACCATCTTCTCCACCATCATCTGCATGCTCTCTGCTGTCGTGTGCTGCATCCAGATCTTCTCCCTTGACATCGTCCACGTGGTGAGTCCCAGGCTGGGGTGGTCCCTGGGGTGCCAGGGCAGGACCTGGACCCAGCCAGGTGCAGATTAAAGCCCAGGAGGCACATCCCTTGCTGGATCTCAGCCCAGGAGGTCCCAGCTCTCCCCTGTCCCCTCTCCCTGCAGCTGGTTCCACAGCGCTCGAGCTCTGTGACATTGGAATGCACGTCCCCACCTGACACCTTCCTGCAGAGCATGATGGACTTCGAGGAGTTTGTGCCCCCAGTGCCACCACCCCCCTACTACCCACCTGAGTACACCTGCAGCTCCGAGACGGATGCACAGAGGTACCACTGGGAGCAAGGCTGCTAGGACAGGACGGTCTGTGTGTCCCCAGGCTGGGCTTGTCCCACCCAGAGTGGCTTTTCTGCTTTGCCTCCACAGCATCACCTACAACGGCTCCATGGACAGCCCCGTGCCCCTCTACCCAACCGATTTCCCCCCATCCTACGAGACTGTGATGGGGCTGCGGGGAGACAGCCAGGTGGGGGCTGTGGGGCCGTGGGCAGGGCAGGCTGGGCAGGCTGGGCTCCAGCTCAGCTGAGCCCTGTGCCTGCTGCCCCACAGGCCACCCTGTTCGACTCGCAGCTGACAGAGGGCTCCCACGCCTGCACCTGTGACCGTGTCCCCTCCATCGTGCTCAGCGGGGAAGGTGAGTGCTGCTCCCAGGATGATGGCAGGGCCGGCTCCGGCAGCTCCTCAGCCATGCCCATCCTCTCCCCTCGCAGTCTCCATGGACAGCGGCTCCCTGATCATGTCGGAGATCATGGACATCCCCGGGGACAGCAGCCCCTCGGAGGACTCGTGCCTGCTGGAGCTGCAGGGCTCCATGCGCTCCGTGGATTACGTCCTGTTCCGCTCCATCCAGCGCAGCCGCGCCGATTACTGCCTGAGCGTGGACTGCGTGCAGTGCAGCCACCACGCCCGCAGCCCCACGCTGGCCCTGCAGGGCCCCTTCGAGGAGATGCCCCAGCCCCGAGTGCGGGGCGAGCGCTCCTATTCGTGCTCCACCGCCGAGCCCGGCCCCGACGGCGGCGGCGTGCTGGTGGGGGGAGCCGTGACCCACAGCTGCAACCGGCTGGTGGGGCCGGTGCGCTGTGCCGGACCCTGCTTCCCCGAGGTGCGCCTCAAGGACAAGGGCTCCTCGCTGCAGGGACGCGGGGGTGGCCGCCACACGGACACCGCCACCGCCGGCCGCCCCCGGCGCAACAGCGAGACCTCGTGCCCTTCGTCCCCGGCCCCGGGGATGGCCCCGCGCCCGCTGCTGAGGTCGCACAGTGACCCCGGTGTCCCCATGGCCGGCCGTGCTGGTAGGTGACAATGACATCCGGGATGGGATGGGAGTGTGGCAGCGTCTGTGCGGTGCGGCCGGGATGTGCCGCAGGGTTTGGCTGTGCGGCCGGGTTGGATTAGAGCCAGTCTGGGATGGAACGGGGGGAGCAGGGGTGCTGGAGGGTTCTGCTGCCTGGGGTGTGCACACCTGCCCAGGCCTGAGGGCTCTCTCTGCTCCCAGCAGATTTCAGGGAAGTTCTTTATACCAAAGCACTGGAGGACACCGTGTCCGACTCCTCCGCTGATACAGGTCAGGGCACTGGGGTGTACTGGGAGGGAAATGGGGCATGGGGGGTGGCTGAAGCCCTCTGGGGATTGAACTCACCCTGTTGGGGCTGGGACAATGGGGACCAGTGGTGGGACTGCTCCTGCTGGCTGGGGATGGGACACAGCAGGACCCCAGGGCTCTGAGGATAGGTCTGATGGGAGCAGCATCCTGGGGTGTGACAGTGGGGACAGGTCCATCAGAGCAGTGTCCTGTGCCTGTCACAGCAATGTCCTGAGTCTGACAAAGGGGACAGGTCCATCAGAGCAGTGTCCCAGGTCTGACAGTGGGGATGGATCCATCAGAGCAGTGTCCTGGGTCTGTTGATGCAATGTCCCAGGTCTGCTGGTGGGGATGGATCCATCAGAGCAGTGTCCTGTGCCTGTCAGAGCAATGTCCTGAGTCTGACAAAGGGGACAGGTCCATCAGAGCAGTGTCCCAGGTCTGATGATGAGGACAGGACTGTCAGAGGAGTGTCCTGTGTCTGTTGACAAGGACAGGACTGTCAAAGCAGTGTCCCAGGTCTGATGGTGGGAATGGATCCATCAGAGCAGTGTCCTGGGTCTGACAATGGGGACAGGTCCATCAGGGCAGTGTCCTGGGTCTGTCAGAGGAATGTCCTGGGTCTGACAGTGAGGACAGGACTGTCAGAGCAGTGTCCCTGGTCCGATGACAAGGACAGGCCTGCCAGAGCAGTGTCCCGAGTGTGACAGCACCCTCCCCACAGGGCTGTGCTCCGAGGCCTGCCTGCTCCACCGCTCCCACTGTGACTCCCCGCCGCTGCTCCGGGCTGGCTCGGTGGGGAAGAACAAGCTGCCACCCTCCAAGAAGGTGCCACAGCAGCTGTCCAAGACGGCCACCCGCTCCCTGGGGGACCTCAAGGGCTACCGGGGCACCCGTGGGCTGGTGGCCAGGTTCCTGCAGAGACCCAAGCGCAGCGTGGAGGTGTCTGGGCACAGCTTCCACGGGCACAAACAGGTGGGTTCTGGAAGCTGCAAGGGATGGGCAACTCCTCCTTCCCATCCACGCTCTCCCTCCCTTCTCTCCCATCAACACCTCCCCTGCTGCATCCCCGTTGTGTGGGCACCCTGGCTGCAGGCAGAGCGTTCTTCCTGCAGCACCATCCTTGCCCAGCCCTTCCTGGGGGGCAGCTCCTTTTCCTTGATCCCCACTGGAGCCACAGGTGGGAAAATCATCCCTGTTGCAATGGCTTTGGCTTTGCCCCTGAGTCACTGCACCCGGAGGCAGCTGCTGGGACATCCCCACAGCTCAGCTTTACGGGAGTCCTTGCGCAGCCTGGGAGGCCTCGACGGGAACCAACCTGTCCCAAATGCCAGTGTGGGCGCGTGATGCACGCCTCTGCCATCCCTGTCACCTCTGTCCTCCTGCCCCGTGTGCTGCCTGGCCATGCTGGGGTGGGGGGGATTGAGCACAGGGGGGATTGAGCACAGGGGGGTGAGCACGGGAGGGTGGCACAGGCAAGGGTGTCATGGGCAGGGGTACCATGGGCACTGGTGTCATGGGCAGGGGTCCATGGGCAGAGGTGCCACGGGCAGGGGTGTCACGGGCAGGGGTGTCAGGGCTAGGGGTGCCATGGGCAAGGGTAGCACAGGCAGAGCTGCCACGGGCAGGGGGGCCATGGGCAGGGGTCCACGGACAAGGGTGCCATGGGAAAGGGTATCACAGGAAGGGGTACCACGGGCAGGGGTACACAGGCAGGGGTGCCATGGGAAGGAGTGTCACGGGCAGGGTACCACGGGCAGGGGTACCACAGGCAGGAGTGCCATGGGCAGCGGTGTTACGGGCAGGGTATCATGGGCAGGGGTGTCACGGGCAGGGGGTACCACGGGCAGGCTGCCATCCCTGTGGCTGCAGCCCATCCCCATGCCCAGCAGGTTCCCTGGAGTGCCTGGCCGGGTGCAGAGCGGCCCCACGAAGGGATCCACCTGCAGAGCTGCGGGGACCTGAGCTCCACGTCGTCCCTGCGGCGGCTCCTGTCCTCGCGCCGCCTGGAGCGCGGCCGCCCGCGGAGCCTCAGCGGGGCCTGCAAGGAGAGCGCGCTCTGAGGGCACGGCCTGGCACGGACCCTCCGCCCTGGGGAGGGAATCCCGCTCTGGGCTCAGCCCTGGACATTGCTCGGACATTGCTGCTGCTGCCCTGGTGGGGCTGGGCCCTGCCCTGCTGCCCCGGGGGTTCGGCTGAGCCCCTTCCCCGAGCAGGGCTGGGGTTTGGGGCTGGTCCCCTGGGGTGTCTGTGGGGAGCCAGGACAGCTGTGCCTGTCCCCATCTGCCTGTCTGGGATGGTTATGCCTGTTCCTTGTCCTGTTCCTTCTTCTGGGCATGCCTGTCCCTTGCCCTGTCCCTTGTGCCAGCTGTGCCTATTCCCTGGGATGGCCACGCCTGTCCCCTGCCCTGTCCCATGTTGTGGCTGTGCCTGACGCACGCACTGGCCATCCCCTGTCCCCTGTGCCAGCCGTGCCTGTAGCATGGTATGGCCATGTCTGTCCCCTGTGCCAGCTGTGCCTGTAGCCTGGCATGGCCATGTCTGTCCCCTGTGCCAGCCATGCCTGTAGCCTGGCATGGCCGTGTCTGTCCCCTGCCCTGGCCATGCCGTCCCTTAGGCTGGCTATGCTGGCTTGATCCCCGGTCCCTTGTGCCAGCCATGCCTGTCCCCTGTCCCCTCCACTGGCCGTGCCTGTCTTATGCCTTGTTCTTTTGGCTGACCATGCTGGCTTCATCCTCGGTCCCCTGTGCCAGCCGTGCCTGTCCTCCAGGACGACCTTGCCTGTCCCCTGCCCTGTCCCTTGTGCTGGCCCGGTCCCTGGCCTCCTGTGCCAGCGTACCCCGGAACTGCCACGCCTGTCCCTTGCTCTGTCCCCTGTCTCCAGGCCCTCCGCCCCGTTCGGTGCCGGTGCCGGTGCTGGCCGTGCCCGTTCCTCCCCGCCCGGCTGCGCCCGGGCCGCGCCGCGGGGCCGGTCCCGCGACCGCTGCCCCTCGCTAGAGACCGAATAAAGGTGGTCGCCGCCGCCCACGGCGCCGGTGTCACGGGGCGGGCGGGGCCCAACGGGGCGGGGCGGGCGGTCAGCTGACCGGTCACGGGGTGCAGGCTCCCGGTTTCCCGGTAGCGGCTCCGCGGGACAGGGCGACCGGTGTCGTCGAGGCCTGGGGAGGCAGCGGGGACCGAAACCGGGACCGAACCCGGCACCTGCACCGGGACCGGGACCGGGACCGGGACTGGGACTGGCTGCTCTTCTCGGGGAGGGACCGGGGGGAAGCGACCCCGTTCCCACGCGGTTCTCCCGGTTGGCGGGGGAAGGGCCGGGGCCAGGCCCGCCCAGAGTCGGTGCCGCTCCTGCACCGGGTGTGGGCGGGACGAGCTGCCCGGGCGCCCTTAAAGGCAAGGCCGGCGGCGGAGCCGGTGCAGCCGGGCCGGCTCCGAGCGCACCGGGAGCGGCGGGGCCATGGGGGCGGTCGGTGCCCTGTGCTGGCGGCTGCTGCCGGTGCTGCTGGCCGTGCACCGGGCCGCAGGTGAGCGAGGGGGACCCGGGGTACGCGGTGGGTCCGGGAATGGGGGTCTCGGGGCGGACCGGAATGGGACGGGAGGAGCTGGGACTACCTTTGGAGTCCGTGGCCGGGGATGCCCGGGAGGTGTCCGGGGGTCCGTGGGCAGCGCGGTGCTCGGTGCTGGCGAGGTGCCGGGATGTGGAGCACGGGGGGCAGTGGTGTCACCCCCGGGGCAGGGACACGTCCCTGAGGCTGCCCCCGCCACCCTCCGTGCCCCCCAGGCGCCCGGCCCTGCAGCCCCAAGTACTTCGGCCGTGATGCCATGGTCTGCGTCTGCAATGCCACCTACTGTGACACGCTGGACCCCCTGGTCCTGCCAGCCCACGGCTACTACGTCAAATACGAGAGCAGCAAGGCCGGGAAGAGGCTGGAGCGGAGCGAGGGGAAATTCCAGCACAAACTCTGCGCCCCAGGTACTGCCGCGGACGGCAGGGATGGGATGGACCCTGCAGCAACCCGCCGTCATGCTGGGCTCCCCTCCCTGCAGATGTCGTCCTCAGGCTGGACACGACGCAGCGCTTCCAGAGGGTGAAGGGTTTTGGTGGCTCCATCACCGACGCGGCCGCCATCAACATCTTGTCCCTGGCGGAGAGAGCCCAGGATCACCTGCTGCGCTCCTACTTCTCTGAGGAGGGTAGGACGTGGGGGACACAGGTGGGATGGTGGCAGGGAGCGTGGACATCATGGACACCTCGTGTCCCGCTGTGCTGGCAGGGCTGGAGTACAACCTCATCCGGCTCCCCATGGCCAGCTGTGACTTCTCCCTCCATGCCTACACCTACGATGACGTCCCCTACGACTACGAGCTCGCCCATTTTGCCCTGAGGGACGAGGACACCAAGCTGAAGGCGAGCGGTGGGAGGGAGCAGGGAGGGGATGGAGGGTCACAGGGGCTGAGCTGAGCTGGCCCCTCCACCTCCTCCTGCAGATCCCCCTCCTTCACCGAGCCTCGGCCATGAGCAAGCGGCCGCTGTCGCTGTACGCCAGCCCCTGGACCTCCCCCACCTGGCTGAAGACCAGCGAGTCCTACGTGGGGAAGGGGACACTGAAGGGGCAGGCAGGGGACAAGTACCACAAGACCTGGGCCAACTACTTTGTACGGTGAGGAGCTGCTGGGAGATACCTGGGGGTCTCTCAGTGGTGGCACTGGGCACTCCTCATGGCTCACCTCTTCCTCCACGCCAGGTTCCTGGATGAATACGCCAAGCACAATGTGACATTCTGGGCAGTGACAGCAGAGAATGAGCCCACGGCCGGGCTGATCAACAACTACCCCTTCCAGTGCCTGGGTTTCACAGCTGAGCAGCAGAGAGACTTCATTGCTCGGGACCTGGGCCCAGCACTGGCCAACAGCTCCCACCGCCACGTCCAGCTCATCATCCTGGATGACAACCGGCTCCACCTCCCGCACTGGGCCAGAGTGGTGAGTGTGGTGACCCTGGGAAGAGCCCCTGTCCTTGTGGGGGGCTTGAGTGCTCTGTCTGTGGAGCCTCTGTTCCCCGTGGGATTGACTCTTTTCCTTGCCAGGTCCTGGAGGACGAGCAGGCAGCTCGCTACGTCCATGGCATCGGCATCCACTGGTACCTGGACTTCATCGGCCCCATACAGGACACAGTGCTGCCCACTCATGAGCTCTTCCCTGACTACTTTATCCTGGCCACGGAGGCGTGCATCGGGGCCCACTTCTGGGAGAGGGATGTGATTCTGGGCTGCTGGGAGCGGGGGAACCAGTACAGCCACAGCATCCTGACGGTGAGGCCCCTGCGTGCTGGGCTCTGGGAGGGTTGGTGGTGCTGGGCAGGCATCTGAGCTGTGCTGTTGCAGAATCTGAACCACTTTGTGGCCGGCTGGACTGACTGGAATCTGGCCCTGGATCTGGAGGGGGGCCCTAACTGGGTCAAGAACTATGTGGACAGTCCCATCATCGTGGACAGCAGTGAAGGCATCTTCTACAAACAGCCCATGTTCTACCACATGGGGCACTTCAGGTGGGTTGGAGCCCACAACATGTGCTAAGCTGCCTTGTCCTGAGAGAAGCAAGGTAAATTTGGCTCCAGAGGAGCTCTCCTGGGGTCTCCCTGAGGTTGTTTCTCGTTTGTCTGTTCAGTAAATTCATCCCCGAGGGCTCCCAGCGCGTGGGGCTCGTCGCCTCCAGAGAGTCCAAGAAGACAGCGCTGGAGTACACGGCTTTCCTGCGCCCCGACGGGGCTGTGGTTGTGGTGGTTCTGAACCGGTGGGTGATGCAGCCTGGCCCCCCTGTGTGGGACCCTTGTCCTGCCAGCCCCGTGTGGGACTCCTGTCCTGCTACCCCTGTGTGTGACTCCTGTCCCATCAGCCCTGTGGGGGACCCCAGTCCTGCCAGCCCCTGTCCCGTTAGCTGTATGTGGGACCCCTGTCCTGTTAGCCCTATGTGGGACACCCATGCTGCCACCCCTATGTGAGACCCCCATCCTGGAACCCCCTTGTGGGACCCCAGTCCTGCCACCCTTGTGTGGGACCCCTGTCCCATCAGCCTTGTCTGGGACCCCCATCCTGCCACCCCTGTATGGGACCCCCGTCCTGCCAGCCCCATGTGGGACCCCCATCCTGCCAGCCCCATGTGGGACCCCCGTCCCATCAGCCCTGTGTGGGACCCCCATCTTGCCACCCCTGTATGGGACCCCAGTCCTCCCACCCCTGTGTGTGACCCTCGTCCTGCCACCCCTATGCTGGACCCCTGTCCTGCCACCCCTGTGTGTGACTCCTGTCCCATCAGCCTTGTGTGGAACCCTCATCGTGCCAGCCTCGTGTGTGACCCCTGTCGTGCAACCCCTGTGTGGGACCCCCGTCCTGCCAGCCCTGTGTGTGACCCCCATCCTGCCACCCCTGTGTGGGACCCCACCCCTCTGGGCCCTGTGCAGGTGTGACCGCCCTGCTGTCACCCCACAGGTCCCCGCAGGACATCACCTTTGGGCTGGCGGACACCGTGGGCCTCCTGGCGGCCGTGGCTCCGGCCAACTCCATCCAGACCTACGTGTGGCAGCGGCAGTGACGGGGCCGAGGCGCCGGGGGCCGGACGTGCAGCCCCAGCTGCCCGCGGGCTCGGGCCGGGGCAGCGTCCCCAGGGCTGTGACAGAGCCAGAACGGGCCAGGCCGGGGACGCTGAGCGTGTGTAGGAGGGCCGGGGGCACGGTGCCCCTCAGGGTGGAGACCCCACAGGCTGTGAGCGCTGTGTTCTGCTGTTCCGACATTAAACACGGATGCTGCCTTGATGTGTGCGGCTGGAAGGGAAAGCTCCGGGTCCCTCCCCCGCTCCTGGGCACCGTGGCTGGGTGCCGCCCCGGCGTGGAGCCTGCTGGAGCCTGGCGAGCAGCACAGAGCAGCTGGAGCGTCGTGGGCACTCCCTCTCCCTGCCCAGCCCCTGCCCCTCTGCCCACCTCAGACCCTGCTGAGATGCTCCAGGCACGACTCTGTCCCAGCTCTGAGCATGCACTGCCCGGCTGGGGCTGAGCAGAGCCCAGCTGTGCTCCTGCTGCTGTTGGGGACAGGTTTGAGGAGCTAGCAGGTGGCTCGGGAGTCATCCTGAATGCTCTGGGTGCTGCATCAGGAGCAGGCACAAAGCACTTGGACACCCACCCTCCATGGAAGGGCTGAGCAGGGATTGCAGCCAAGCCTCAGCTTTCTGTGCTTTCCCTGCCACTCTGGAGCCACCTGCAGCCTGAGGTCAGGCCAGGGGCTCTGTGGGTCACATCTCCTCCAGACCAAGGTCCTGAGGTCAGGGCTGGAGGCAGAACCAGCTCCAGGAGCATGGCAACGTGGGGGGCTCAGGGTCCCAGCCAGCTCTCCTGGGGCTTTTCTGGGGCAGTGAGGCTGCCCAGGCCGCAGCAGCCCTGCCTGGAACTGCTGTTCCCCATGGGGACTGATCCGAGGTGTCCCCACTGTGGAGAGGAAACTGGGGGTGCACCAGGGGCTCAGGGTCCCAGGCAGCTCTGGCTGAGGTCAGGGCAGTGCCAGCTGCTCCTGGGGCTTTTTCAAGACAGGGAGGCTGAGCCCCAGCTGCTCCTGGTGATTTTCTGGGACAGGGAGGCTGCCCAGGCTGCAGCAGCCCTGCCTGGAGCCTGCTGTTCCCCATGGGGACTGATCTGAGGGATCCCCAATGTGGTGAGGAAACTGGGGGTGCGCCAGGGTCTCAGGGTCCCAGCCAGCTCTGGCTGAGCCCCAGCTGCTCCTGGAGCTTTTCTGGGGCAGAGAGGCTGCCCAGCCCTGCCTGGAGCCTGCTGTTCCCCATAAGGGACTGATCTGAGGGATCCCCACCATGGTGAGGAAACTGGGGGTGCACCCGGAGCTCAGCACCCACCACAGATCTGGGGTGCCTGGAGCAAGCGGGGGCAGGAGCGGGAGTGGGTGCAGAGTGTGGGCGCACCCAGGAAGGAGGGAGGGAGCTGGCAGGGTGTGAGAGCAGGAGATTAGGGCAGGGAGGTCATAATTTCAGGGCGGTGGGGTTCCGTGCGGGTGGGATGTGCCCAGGGGCGCTGTCAGGACTGACAGCCGCGATACTGCGTGGGCTGAGCGCAGCCCAGGCGTGGCCGCTGAGTGACAGTGTCACCCTGGCACACTGGCACGCCACGGAGCCACGGCGATGCTGCTCGTGGGACCTCCGGGAGCTGCCGCCAGAGTCCTGCGAGAGCGGCCTGCTCCTGCCCCGAGGCTGTTTGTGTTTGTCCACAAGAGGGAAATGTTTCTCCAGGATCACGCGGCGAGCCCCATCCCCATCGCCCCGCTGCCAGCATCCCTCTCCCGGTGCAGGGCCGCTCCCCCGCCTGTTCCTCGCTTACCTGCCCCGCTGCTCACGGCTGTGGCCGGATGCTGAATCACCCCGGTCCACGTGTCCCGGTCCCTGCGCTCGGCTCGGTGCTCAAGGACCGACTGGCTCCGGGATAAACGCAGCGGGGGCGAATCCTCCGACGTCGCTGGGCTTGGCTCTGCTCATTAATTCTTGTGCAAAGCCTTGGCTCGTGTGGGGCTCGCGGTGGTTGGGGGATGCTGGGGTCCCACCTAGAGCCTGTGGTTGCCCTGGGGATTGTCCCCACGTGCTCTGGGCTGGGGTCTCGCTGTTGGGAAGGAGTTGCGGTGATGCCACACTGAGGCTCTTTGGCATAAATATCAACAAAATCGTGATCCCCTGAAAGGTGACTCAGCCCAGCTCCGTGTCCCTGTGTCCCCATCCACACTGGCCTGGCTTAGAGACAAAATTCACCCTCTGGCTCTTCTGAGGACAAAATTCACCCTCTGGCTCCTCTGAGGACAAAATTCACCCTCTGTCTCCTCTGGTGGCTCCTTTGGTCCCACCTCCTTGAACAAGCCCACCTGAGCACTGCAAAGGGTGCTCACACCGTGCCACGAGGCCCCTGCGACCCCCAGGAGCTCCCCCTATTTGGAGATGGGCCACAAGAAGCAGTTTTGGGGGCTTGGTGGGGCTGCCTGGCATCTGCTGTGCCAGCAGCTCCATGCGAGGCGTTGCCCGGCCCCTGGGTCTCACTTTTCCTGCTCAGCAGGGCGCTCTTATCAGCTGCTGTTGATAAGGATGAGCCTCAGCAGCCTCCGCAGTGTTTTGCTTCCAGGAGCTGTGGGACCTGAGCCAGCTGGGGGGCTGTGGGTGATGGGGGGCAGGAAGAACTGGAGCTTGGAATGGGAAGGGGTGAGCAGGGGCATCCTGGATGGCTGGAAGTGAGCTCCAAGGTGGCTGATTGCCTTAGGAGCTATTAATCCCTCCCCAAAATTGGGGCTCATTAGCCTGGGTGTAGCAGTCTGGTCACGCCTTAATCACACTTGGGAGGTGGGAGAGCCACAGTGCAGCGGGACAGGGACAGGAGCTCCCTCCTGGGGCACCTGTTTGCCCCGTGAGATGTCACCGGGGGCTGCCTGGCCCCATCTGCCCCGGCCCCAGAGCCTCCAGGTGTCTCATGGCTCAGCTCCCAGCAGAGGGCTGGAACTGTGGCAGGGCCCATGGCAGGGCAAGGCTGGTGCTAGGAGGAAATTTGATGAATTGATTTGCCCCAGAGCTGTATCTGATATGCCAGAAGTGGAGAAAATTACTCACAAAGTGCTGCTCCACCCATGGAGGGAAAGCTAACGGAGCAGTTTAACCCTGTGCAGGGCAGCCCTGAGCTGATTGATGCTCCAGGCTGGGAGCTGTGCCTGGGAGCTGTGGTCACTCTCCATTCCCACACCAGCTCTGTGTGGGGATGCTGAGAATGTCCCCACAGTGAGGGGGAACATCCTGGGTGGTGGCACCAGGCAGGCTCTGTGTGCCCAGGTGAGCTGGCCCAGTTCAGCCTTGGCTCGCTGGGCTGGAGGGTGACTCGTGGAGGAGCAGGGAGTGCTACAGGAGCACCAGAGCTGGGCTCTGCTCCTGGTGTTGGGACAGCAGGGTCCCCTTTGAGGGTCTAACTGCTGTTGGCAGCTGGAGTGCAGCCCCGCTTGCCCAGGAGCTGGGGTATTGCCTGCTTGCTGTCACTGCTGTCACTGCTGTCACTGTGTCACTGCTGTCACCTTCCCCAGCACATGCCAAGTTGGGGAGAGTGATGCCAAAGGCTTGGGCAGGCAATGGCAACAGCCCCAGCTCCCATGTGGCCACCCCTGCTGTGCCCCTGCGCTGCCCTGAGCTGTGCAGCCACATTCACTGACCTTACCCAGGTGTCCTGGACCCTCCTGCACGGCCCTGTGGCTCCTGGGGGACAGTGGGGACAGCAGGGTGGCAGTCAGGGATAAGTGGGTGTCCTGCTGGAGGTGCCCAGCAGGACAGACAGCTGTGCCATCAACCTGCCCTTGGCTTTGCTGGGCTCTCAGGGTGATGATCCAGACCTGCCTGACAAAATAATCAGTTCTTCCTTCAGTGGGGTCTCTGTGACCCTTCCCTGTGCTGGCTGGACCTTTCACTGAGGCCCAGCTGCCAGCACCATGTCCCTGTCCCTCCTTGCCGTGGCAGCGGAGGGCCAAGGGGACCCGGCGAGCCCGTGATCGGCGGTCCTCGCCCGAGGGCAGGTACGGGCCGGGAGCGGAGCAAGGAGGAGCTGTGGGGGTGGGAGAGGGTGTGCTGCGGAGGGAGGTCTCCGAGCAGCTCCCTGTAAAGGCCAGGTGGGGAGGCTGCAGCTGCTGAGGAGGAGGAGGAGGTCTGGCGGCAGCGCAGGTCGGGAGCAGCCGGGGTGAAGGCGGGCGGGCTCCGGGCAGGGATGGACGCTCCCCGAGCGACATCAGGGGGGTTGGGGGGGATGCAGGGTGTGACAGGAGCTCCGTGGGGTTGGGGAGATGGGGCTGATCCCTCCATCCCCCTGCCGTGCCTGAGGGTGTCCCCGCCGCAGGTGCTGCTCCCCGGGACCTTCCAGAGCTCGGGCAACGCGGAGGGGCCATGAGGGCTCTCGGCATCCTGGGCTGGCTGTTCCTGCTGCTGCTGCCAGTGTCTCAGGTGCCAGGTGAGCGTGGGGACATCGCGGGGGTGGCAGCGGGGCTTGGGCACGCTGGGGCAGCGCGGGGCTGAGTGCCGGGGAGGTGCCCGGGATGCCAAGCGCGGGGACAGCGACATCTCCCCGGAGCAGACGGGGACACGTCCCTGAGCTGGCAGCCACCCGCACCCTCCCGTGCCTCGCAGGTGCCCGACCCTGCATGCCCAAGGATTTTGGGCACGGCTCGCCGGTCTGTGTCTGCGATGCCACCTACTGTGACACGCTGGACCCCCTGGTCGTGCCAGCCCCCGGCTCCTACGTCAAATACGAGAGCAGCAAGGCCGGGAAGAGGCTGGAGCGGAGCGAGGGGAAATTCCAGAGCAGAATGAGCACCCGAGGTAGCGCCGCTGGTGGGTGTTGGTGCCACCGCGGGTCCCCGGGCAGCAGGGACCGAGCCGGGCTCTTCCCGCAGGGCTGCTGCTGACGCTCAACATCTCCACGCTGTACCAGCACGTGAAGGGCTTCGGCGGCTCCCTCTCGGATGCTGCTGCCATGAACATCCTGAAGCTGTCCCAGCCGGCCCAGGACAACCTGCTGCGCTCCTACTTCTCCCAGAGCGGTGAGCAGTGAGGGCACGGCGGTGGGAGCAGATCCTGGGGTCACCAGAGATGGCTGTGCCTGTCCCCGCTGCAGGGACATCGTCACCTGGACGCCTGCTCCGGTGCCGCTTGACTCTTTTCCTGCTCCTTAGGGATCGAGTACAACCTCATCCGGGTGCCCATGGCGTGCAGCGACTTCTCCGTGCGCCCCTACAGCTACGATGATGTCCCCATGGACTACGAGCTGAAGCACTTCAGGCTGGCGGACGAGGACGTGGAGATGAAGGTGGGAGGCTGAAGCTGCTGCCATCAGCACCTTGTCCCCTCTCGCGCCGGAGCTCCTGCGTGTGCTGGGACCCCCAGGACCAGGTGCTGCTGTCCCTACACGCCGTGGCAGGGTGCATGGGGACAGCCTGTGGGAGCTGGCACCTCCGCCGGGGCACGTCCTGGCTCATCCCACCTGGCACTGGCAGGGTGAGGAGCCAGGGTGCTGTGCCGGGGGGGTGGTGCTTGCCGGCTGCCAGTCCCTGCTGAGGTCCCTTGAGTTCTCCCATGCTTTGGGCTCTGTGGTTTTGGGGAGCTGCAGCTGGAGCTGACCCCGTCCCTCTGCCCCATCCCACAGATTCCCCTCCTGCGCCGAGCTTTGGCCATGAGCAAGCGGCCGCTGCTGCTGTTTGCCAGCCCCTGGACCGCCCCAGCCTGGATGAAGAGCAACGGGGACGTCCGTGGGAAGGGGACTCTGAAGGGGAAGGCCGGGGACAAGTACCACAAGACCTGGGCCAACTACTTCATCAAGTACCGTCTGTGGAACCAGCATGGGATGGACAGCGGGAGGATCGGGGAGTGGGGTGGGGTCGGGGGGGCAGCCCAGCTGATTCTGCCCCCGCTTCTCCACACCAGGTTCATCAAGTGCCGTCTGTGGAACCAGCTTGGGATGGACAGAGGGAGGATGAGGGAGTGGGGTGCGGTGAGGGGGCAGCACAGCTGATTCTGCCCCTTCCTTCTCCAGGTTCCTGGATGAATATGCAAAACGCAACGTGACTTTCTGGGCGGTGACGGCCCAGAACGAGCCGCTGGCGGGGCTCTTCACGCCCCCCCAGGCCCCCACCATCGCCTTCACTGCCGCCCAGCAGCGGGATTTCATCGCGCAGGACCTGGGCCCCGCGCTGGCCCGCAGTTCCCACCGCACACGGCTCCTGATGCTCGACGACCAGCGCATCCACCTGCCGCACTGGGCCAAAGTGGTGAAGAGCAGCTCCCCTTCCTTCCCCTCCGCCTCGCTGCCCAGCCCCAGGCTCTTTGGGAGATGGAGCCGTGGCCTCTCCCAGCCCTAGAGAGAGTGGGAGCAAACCGGGTCTGCCGGAGCGGCCGCCTCCGCCTGTGCCCGGCGGGAGTGAGGACAGGAGGTGGCACCCACACCCTGGATCCCCGGATCCTGCCGGTGCTGCTGGGCACCAGCACCTTTTCTGGGCAGAGTTTTGGCTGGTTTGGTTTCTCCCCATGATGCTGTTTGGGGATATTGCTTTAAACAAGGAGAGATAAAGTAAAATGTGCTCCTGCCCCAGCCTCAAGCCAGGCAGTGTGTTCCTCCTTTCCCTCCATGGCTGCAGGGCTGGACCACCCCAGGGGGGTGTGGAGGGAGGACAAGGCAGAAGTGGGGGCAAGGGGCCCACTGAGGGGCAAACCTGTGCCCACCCCCTTAGCACTGCACCCAGCAAGGTGCCAAAGCCATGCTGGGGCACCAAATCCATGCTAGGGTGCAGTGCTGCAGGGTGTGGCACCCATGGGAGGGGACAAGAGGTGACCTTGAGAGACCACATGGAGTGCATGAGTCCATCCCTACAGGCTTCAGGCATGGGTAGCCTGGGTGTGAGGCATCTCCTTTGCTCCCCAGGTGCTGGGAAATGCCACAGCTGCCCGTTACGTGGCTGGCCTGGCCGTCCACTGGTACCTGGATGCCATCGTCCCACCTGCCTGGAGCCTGGAGGCCACCCACAAGCTCTTCCCTGACCATTTCCTCCTCTACACTGAAGCCTGCACTGGCTTCTTCATGTTCCGCTTCGCTGTGTCCCTGGGGTGCTGGGAGAGAGGAGACCACTACAGCTACAGCATCCTGACGGTACTGCCCTCACTCTGCCCTCACACAGGCCTCACACGGCCCTCACACAGGCCTCACTCTGCTCTTACACAGCCCTCACAGGGCCCTCACAGTGCCCTCACACAGCCCTTACAGTGCCCTCACAGTGCCCTCACTCTGCTCTTACACAGCCCTCACTCTGCCCTCACAGTACCCTCACTCTGCCCTCACAGTACCCTCACCCTGCCCTCACTTGGCCCTCACTCTGCTCTCACAGGGCCCTCACACAGCCCTTACAGTGCCCTTACACAGCCCTCACACTTCCCTCACTCTACCCTCACACCGCCCTCACACAGGCATCACACGGCCCTCACAGTGCCCTCACACAGCCCTCACAGGGCCCTCACAGGGCCCTCACACAGCCCTTACAGTGCCCTCACTCTGCCCTCACACCGCCCTTACAGTGCCCTCACACAGCCCTCACAGGGCCCTCACACTGCCCTCACACTACTCTCACAGTGCCCTCACAGTGCCCTCACACAGCCCTCACACAGCCCTCACACCACTCTCACAGTGCCCTCACAGGGCCCTCACACAGCCCTCACAGTGCCCTCACTCTGCCCTCACACCGCCCTTACAGTGCTCTCTCACAGCCCTCACTCTGCTCTCACACAGCCCTCACAGGGCCCTCACTCTGCCCTCACACCACTCTCACAGTACCCTTACACCACCCTCACACCGCCCTCTCAGAGCCCTCACTCTGCCCTCACACCCCCAACCCAGGTCTGGGGGGACCTCCACTCAGCCTCTTCCCTGCTTCTCCAGGTAATGAACCACTTTGTGTCCGGTTGGACCGACTGGAACCTGGCCCTGGACCTGGGTGGAGGCCCCAACTGGGTCAAGAACTTTGTGGACAGCCCCATCATCGTGGATGGCAGCAAGGATGTTTTCTACAAGCAGCCCATGTTCTACCACATGGGGCACTTCAGGTGGGTCAGGGGGGCTCAGGTGCAACCACCAGCCCCAGAGCAGGGGCAGAACCCCTCTGCTGGTCCTCTCCCCACAGCAAGTTCATCCCCGAGGGCTCCCGGCGTGTGGGGCTGCACAGCAGCCGCCGCTGCCTCCTGTGCCAGCTGGAGCACGTGGCCGTCCTGCGCCCTGACGGTGCCCTCGTCCTGGTGGTCCTCAACAGGTCAGCCCAGGCAGGGATGAGGGTGGTGCTCAGCCCCAGCCGTGCCTGCTCAGCCTCTCTCTTTCTCCCCAGGTTTGGCCGGGATGTGCCCTTTGGAATCCGGGACCCTGCCATGGGCTTCATTGAGACTGTGGCTCCAGCTCACTCCATCCAGACCTACCTGTGGCGCCAGCAGTGACAGCCAGGGGACTGCTGGGGAACTCTGGGGGTCAACTCTTCCTCCACCCTTTCCAGCATCCCTCAAGGGTGGAAGAAGAAGATGGGAGTGCACGAGGGGGTTCTGTGTGCTCCTGGCACCGGGACCTGCTGCTCCCCATCCTCCCCATCCTCCCGGCACTTCCCATCCCCCTGGAAGTTCCCTCAGCGCCGTCTCCTGGAGCACACTTCCACACGTGGCCCCCTTGAAACCTTCGCGTGTGCGGCGGGCGCCAAGTAAAGCCATGACGCGCTCCCTCCGGAATGCGCCGTTGTTCCCGTCAGTGTTTCCTCCGTGCGCTCGGAAATCGCTCGGTTTTCCTCGCCGGGGCCAGGGCTGCCCCGGGGGCTCCTGCCCCCGTGGCCTGCGGGTGGCTCCTTGTTTATCCCTGCAGCTGGAGCCTCAGCTGCTGCCAGCCCTTGATTCGCTCCATATGTGCTGTTGGTTTTCCCCAGCCTACTTTTTTTTGGGGGGGGAATTTAAAAAAAAAAAAAAAATCCAAATGTCAGACGCTGTCGGAAAGGCAGAGTAAATGATATCAGTGTGCCCTTCCATCAAACCTTATGGACGAATTAAGTTGGTGCCACCTCTCCAGGGTGGCCTGTGGACAGAGTCCTCTCTATTCTGGCTGTGGCCAACCCAGGCCGCAGCCCGCAGTGACCTCCCCGTCCTGTTTGCTTTCCCTAAATACCAGTTACAGTATTCCCTGTGCCTTTGGCAACGTTACCAGCACCTTTGAAGTGCAGGAATGAGAAAGCCAGAGCTCTCCTTGGCCAATGCCCCTGTGTGAGAACCACGGAACTGCTGAGGTTGGGGAAAATGAAAAACCCAGAGGCTTTACAGCTGGTTTATTGGAGTGTGGTGTGAAGGTGGCACCGGGCTCCGTCCCAGCCCTGTTCCTGGAGCACACCAGCCTGTCCTGTGCTTTTATCCATGTTCCTGGGGAGTGCTGGCCCCAACGGCAGCTGGGTCTGGCTGCCTGTGCTTAGAATCATAGAATGGAGTCATGGAATCCTTGAGGTTGGAAAAGACCTCGAAGATCCTCAATTCCAACCCAAGTTCCCCCAGCGCTGCCAAGGCCAGCCCTAAATCACGTCCCCAAGTGCTCCTTACACATTTGTTAAATCCCTCCAGGGATGGCAACTCCACCACTGCCCCAGGCAGCTGATGCCGGGGCTGCACAGTCCTGTCCATGAAGAAATTTTCTTTAATATTCAACCTAAACCTCTCCTGGGAAATGCCACAGCTCTCCTGATGCAACTTGAGGCCTTTTCCTCTTGTCCTCTCCCTGTTCCCTGGCAGCAAAGCCTGACCCCCACGTGGCTGTCCCCCTGTCAGGGAATTGTGCAGAGCCAGAAGGTCCTACCTGAGCCTCCTTTTCTCCAGAATTAACCCCTCCAGCTCCTCTTGGAGCTGCAGATTCCTCCTCAGCTCCATCCCCTTCTCTTAACATGCTCCAGACCCCTCCTCAGTTCCATCCCCTTCTCAGATCATGCTCCAGACCCCTCCTCAGCTCCATCCCCTTCTCAGGACATGCTCCAGACCCCTCCTCAGCTCCATCCCCTTCCCTGGACATGCTCCAGCCCTCATGAGGGGCACAGAACTGACCCCAAGGATCTGAGGTGTGACCTCATCAGTACCCAGGTCCTGCTGCCACACCATTCCTGACGCTTTGGGAATGTCCCCTTCCCAAGGTGACGGCCCACATGGAGCCCTCACCCCTCGGTGTTCAGCAGTGCCCAGGGGTCAAACCTGCAGGGAAAGGCTTTAGCCCAGCCCCGCTGGACTGGCTCGCTGCTCCTGCCTGTTTGGAACCACAGCAGGATGGTTGAGAGGGGCGGGGTGAGGCTGAAGAACCACCCCCATCATCCTCACTGCCTGCTAGGGGATCCCTTCTCCGGGGGCAGCAGGGCCTTGGGTGGGAGGTGTGTTGGGGAGCTGTTTTCTTCATGGAATGGGACTGTTGGGGTACATTCCTTGAGCTTTATTTGCAGCATCACCCTCATGACATGGCTGAGACAACAGGAAGGTAAAGCTCATGTACAGCCAGTAGCAGCTGAAGAGTTCTTTGTTACAGAGCGCTTGAAAAACTTTCTAGCCAAGAGCACATTGCTAAAGCTCACAGACAATTGTTTTAGCCAATAACGAAAAGTACTAAAAATACTAAAAGTACTAAGAGTACTCGTTAACATTTTCTACTTTCAGACTTTGCAGCTGCTCTGTTCTTTCTGTTTCTACAGCCTGCATTTCAAGCTTTCAAATCATCTCACCTTTGCTATTTCCCACAGGGGGCTGTGACCCTGGTTCCTGGCTGGGGATGTGACACTGAGTGAGGGACGGTGGTCCCTGGGTGGGGGTCTCTTCCTGGCCACCCCCACCAGCTGCCCAAGGGGACCCCGAGGAGCTGCCACTCCCCCTCCCCGTGCCTCTGCCCGCCTCCTGTTTCTCCTGCGGAGCAGATGCCTGTAATTAGGAAGGATCCCAAATTAGATGGTGTGGAGCCCAGACTTGTTTTGCCGATGATAAACCGCTGCTGCCGGCTCCACCCAGCCCGCTGTGGTGTGGGGCTCCGGCCTGTGGGGCACGGCGGGGGCGAGGGGATTTGAGGGGCAGACCCCGCTCTGTGCCCACCCCAGGAGGGGTCGGGAGTCCCTGCCATGAGTGGCTGCTGCCTCTGTCCGTGCCAGTAAAGGTCCTGGAGCAGCCACAAATGGGACACAGGTCATGGTGGTGGCACCGGTGGCACAAAGCCCAAGTGCTGCCAAGAGCAGGGTGGGCACAGCCTGCCCTGTCTGGGGTGTCCCAGGGACACAGAGCTGCTCTTCCCAAGGGGAGCAGGGCAGGCCTGGCTGTGAGGGGTGATGGAGGCACTTGGGGGGCTGGTGAGCATCCTCCCCTCCCCAGCTTCCCTCTGGCCACTGGAACAGGTTTCAGGAGAGCTTTGCAAATGCTGCGGTGTGTGGAAAGCTCGCCGGAGCCAGGTTGCAAAATCATCCCCAGGCTCCTCTTCAAACACCGAGTCCCATGAGCTGTCCCATTCCAAACTCACCTTTCCTGCTCCTCCAGAAGCGTCCCCTCCCACCGGGCTCAGCTGGGACACGGGACCTGCCACTGCTGCCACAGAGACGCAGCAGCAAGAGGTTTGGAGGCAGGTGAGTCCCCTGGGCCCGAGGTGGGAATGGGGACAGAGATGGGCATCAGGATGGGCATGGGACAGCCCCGGGCAGCAGGACAGTGCTGAGGCTGTGCCCTGGCCAAGCTGGGCATCATTCCCAGGCAGGAGTGGGAGGCAGTGGAGGTGGGACAGCTGCCTGGCCCCGCTCCACATCCCACAGGAGCTACAAGAGGGCACCATCCCACCCTGGCAGAGGCCCCCAGGTGTCCTCAGTCTGGCACCTGGGTCCCAAGGCTTGGAGGTGGCTCCTCCTGTGCTCTCATTGAGACACTCCTTGCCCAGCAGCACGGGAAGGACAGGACAGGGTGTGAGCACCTGAAAGAAGAGGAGAATGTGGGACCCTCCGTGCCAGGGGCTGGAGCCCCAAACCACTCTGGCTGGACAAGCTCCAGCTTCCAGACCTGTGGGATTGGGAGCGTGGAGCTGTTTGCTCCTGGGCATGGCTCGGGGGGCACTGGGGATACATGGGGTGATGCAGCATGGCATGACATGGCATGGCATGGCATGGCATGGCATGGCACAGCTGTGGAACGGGTGAGGAGGAGAAGGAGTGGGAGGGAGTTGATGGGAGTGAACAAAGTTGCTGGGTACAGCCAGCGTGGGCAGCTAGGAGCAGCAGGCTCACACCTGGGGGCTGCCCACACCTGGGGGGCTGCGCCCACACCTGGGGGGCTCCACCCCCACCTGGGACATGGCCAGAACTGTTGGTGGGCTCTGGAGGGATGGGAGGGAAGGTGGCCTCTGGGCTGGAGCAGTGGGCAGAGGGCAGGACAGGCTTAGCCCTGGCGTGGGGGGTTCAAAGGGTCCCCTGGGCAGGGGGATGATGCTGGGGCTCTCGCTGTGTCCCTGTGTGTGGCTGGGCCAGGCTGAGCAGCTCTGGGTGCTGACACCTTGCCCTGCTCCCAGCGTCTCCATCGGCATCGTCGGAGCCACTGCAGCAGAGGTGCCATGGGGCCAGGCTGTGCCAGTGTCCTGGGCTGGCTCCTGCTGGCACAGGCAGCCCTGCAGGTCACAGGTACGTGCTGGCACGTGTCCCTGGGCTTTGGAGGGTGGCGGATTTGGAGTCTGTTGTGGGTCAAAGGGATGAGCTGGGCTCCTGCCACAGCCCTCAGTGCCCACTCGCTCTTTCCTCTGCTGCAGGTGGCCGTCCCTGTGATGCCAAGGATTTTGGGCACGGCTCGCTGGTCTGTGCCTGCAGTGCCACGTACTGTGACACTCTGGACCCCCTGGTCCTGCCAGCCCCTGGCTCCTACATCAAATATGAGAGCAGCAAGGCTGGCAAGAGGCTGGAGCGGAGTGAGGGGAGCTTCCAGCACAATGCCAAGAGCCCAGGTACCACCCTGGGCTGTGGGAGGGTCTGTCCTCTCACAGGTGTCAGGGATGGTGACACTGTGTGTCCCCACAGATTTCCACCTCACCCTGGACACCACACAGAGGTACCAGAAGGTGAAGGGCTTTGGTGGCTCCATCACTGACGCAGCTGCCATCAACATCCAGTCCCTGTCCAAGGCTGCCCAGAACCACCTGATCCGCTCCTACTTCTCTGAGGAAGGTGAGCCCAGGGCAGCAAAGCTGTTGGGGTCTGGCAGCTGAGATTTGTTCTGGGGGGCTGGGGGATCTGGAACCCCAAAATGCAACTTGAGGATGCCCATCACCACCTGCCCTGTCCTCAGGCATTGAGTACAACCTGGTGCGTGTGCCCATGGCCAGCACTGACTTCTCCGTCCGCCTGTACACCTACGCCGACGCCGAGGGCGACTTCGAGCTGAAGCACTTCAACCTGACCGAGGAGGACACGCACATGAAGGTGAGTCCTGCAGGAAGGGTCTGAGGGACTGGGGCTGCTGCCTGGGTGGGATGAGATGGGATGGGATGGGATGGGATGGGATGGGATGGGATCAATGGGAGGGGGTGGGATGGGACAGAATGGACAGGGGATGAAAGGCACATCCTGCTGATTAGGAGGGAGAGGACTCATCCTTC